TTATTAGGAAATTTTATGAATTGCCCTGTTACACAAAAATATAATTAATTCAAGATGCCAACAGATAAACGTATTTGTTTGTGTTTAAGCTATTTTAAAAATACCCGGGCGGGAGTTCGATTACACATTCCTTTGGTATGACTCTTGGTCTCTCTGCCCCTATCAGAGAGGTCAGGTTTCTTCAGTTTGGAATCCTTGCCCCGGATGAAATAGTGAGTGTACTGATTGTTTTTTTAGGTAGTTTTAATTTTTTAATATTGACACTTCTCTATACGAGCTTTTAATGCTATTAACTAACATCTTAATTTTTCCCCTTCTGGTGTACCTTTTATGTATTCAGATATTGCTATATCCTTGCTATCCACCTATTTCAATTTTGTTTGCATCCTAAATTTCTCATTTTTTAGAAGCAAATGTCGGTTACGCCCGATGGTGGCATAAAGTACCCAGAAACGATGGAAGGTGGAAAGCCTAAACTTGGTGGTCTCATGGATCCTAGACAAGGTTGTGTTGATCGATCTGCAATTTGTCAGACGTGTAGTGGAAATATGTCTTCTTGTCCCGGCCACTTTGGTCACATTGAACTTGCAAAGCCAGTTTTCCACATTGGGTTTTTGAAAAAAACCCTAAAAATGCTTCGCTGTGTTTGTTTTTACTGTTCTAAAATTCTTGTGGATGTAGAATCACCAAGGATTCGCGAAATTCTAAGGAAGACCAAGGGTGATGCGAGGCGGAGGATTGCCTTCATGTATGAGGAGTGCAAATCTCGCCAGGAGTGCTTTACTAGCGAAGATATCGAGAAAAAAGAAGATGAGGTTGTCGAAAAAAAGGTATCTTTTTTTTCAGGATACCTATCTTCTCGTACATAATTATCTGCTTTTGCATCTTCATAATTGCTACTTTATCCATATCTTTTTTTAAATGGTTAAGCCAATAAGAACTGGTTGTGGCAGATATCAACCAAAGTACCGCCGAACAGTTTTAGAATTAACAGCCGAATGGAAAAAAGTTAATGAAGAATCTCAGGAAAGGAAAATTAGCCTCACGGCTGAACGTGTCCTTGAAGTTTTTAAACGCATCTCAGATGAAGATTGTTTATCCCTTGGATTTGATCCACATTATGCTCGGCCTGATTGGATGATCGTCACTGTTCTTCCCGTTCCTCCTTTATCCGTCCGTCCCGCCATTGTCATGCATGGCTCTGCTCGAAACCAAGATGATCTTACTCACAAACTTTCTGATATACTAAAAGCAAATAATCAACTCCGTAGAGATGAAGAGACTGGAGCCGCTCCACATGTGATTGCCGACGATGTACGAATGCTTCAATTTCACGTTACTACATTGGTGGACAATGATGTACCTGGGCTACCAAAGGCCAATCAGAAGTCCGGACGCCCTCTTAAATCAATTAAACAGCGTTTGAAGGGCAAGGCGGGTCGGATAAGAGGAAACCTTATGGGAAAACGCGTAGATTTCTCGGCGCGTACTGTAATTACTGCCGATCCCAACCTTAATTTGGACCAGGTCGGTGTTCCAAGAACTATTGCTCAGAATCTTTCCTATCCAGAGCTTGTAACTCAATTCAATATGGATTTCTTGCAGAAGCTTGTACAAAATGGAACAATGTATCCTGGTGCAAAATATATCATAAGAGAAAATGGTGAACGAATAGACTTAAGATACCATCCCAAGGTTGCAGATCTTACTCTGCAAGTTGGATATACAGTAGAAAGGCATATGCTTAATGATGACTTTATAATATTCAACCGTCAACCCACGCTCCATAAAATGTCCATGATGTGCCACCGAGTTAAGGTTTTGCCTTGGTCTACCTTTAGGCTTAATCTCTCAGTAACTTCTCCTTATAATGCTGATTTTGACGGTGATGAAATGAATCTTCATCTTCCGCAGTCTGTTGAAACAAAGGCAGAAATATCTCAACTTGCAAGGGTTACGCGTCTCTGCATAACTCCGCAAGCAAACAAGCCCGTAATGGGTAT